GGGGCTTGTCCTGCGGGGGCGGGGCTTGCCGGCGAGGTGCCCCGCGGCCCCGCCGAAGCCCAGGCCCAGGCCCGGGGGCGTTGGGCACCAGGGATTCTGCGCACCAGCCCCCGGCCCCGGCTCGTGGAGAGTCCCTATCACAGCTCCAGGGCCTCAGCACCTCACACTGAGGGATTGAGGGATCGTCGGGTTCTTCTGCACTCCCTGCCCGAAGGCCTCTAAGAATTGCGAATATAACGGTGTCAGCGAATCCTGCCCCTTTCCATTCCTTTTCGACAGGCTCAAGGAGCTGTGCTGTGGCCGTGATGATCCCAGGACTAAGTGCAGTAAGATTTGTAGGCAGGGATAATAACTTTTTATTAGACCAACTGATACAACTGGAAAAAAAGAGACAAGAAGAGTTTCTGTGCCCAGAAGCTTGTCTGTTTTTTCCAGCTGTATCAATCGGTCTAATAAAAGATACTATCTCTCCTTACAAACCTTGACATGTTCAAGGAATTCAGTAAGTGAGGCGTGATTTTCCTCTTCGGAAGCCAGGCTGCTTAGGCTCCATAAAATCACTGGCTTCCAGATACGGCATTCTTCTGTTTTATTACGGATTCGGCCCTCCGAGGGCCGGTGTCACCCACGCAGAGCCCGTGCATTAGCTCCCCGCACACCTGGGCGCTGAGCCCGGCCCGTTCCCACCACCCTCGCCCCATGTGAGCTCAGCCCCCATGCGACCCAGGCTCAGGCTGCCCGAGGGACAGTGGCGGCCACGTGCGGGAAGGAAAACGGCTCCGCGCATGCAGGGCCGTGCCTTACCCCGGAATGTTGACCTCTGCCTCCAGAGACTCCTGGTGAGAGGATGCAGAGAGAGGGAAGCGCAGAAACCCCCTGCCTCCCCAGTCCCTGCTGGGTCACAGCAGCTCCACGTGTGGGAGCAGCCTGGGTGCCCCGTGGGTGTCTCTGCCTGCCTCTACGGAGGAGGAGAAGGGCTTCCCCTCTCTTTTCTCGTCCTGTCGCAAGAATTTTCCTTCCTTTAGACTCTGGCTCACACTCTCTGAACATCTGCAACACCATGGGCAGCATCTGAGCCTGTTCAGCCAAGAAGGAGACACAGCTAAGGGCAGAGACCTGTGGCTGTGGTGGCTGTCCCTGTCTGAAGCCATCTGCCCTGCTCGCTTCCCCTCCAGTTTGGGTCTGCGGTGCCGGGGTTGCTCTTTCCCATGGTCCTTTTCCAAGTGGGACTTTCTCAACTCCGTGTCTGCCTTACTTGTTCGTTTTTGCCCTGGCTCTGAACTAAACTGCTGCCCGCCCGCATGTGTGTGTGCGTGTGTGCGCTGCAAGCATTCCTCTCACACAGCCGCACCCACAGCAGCGGATTTCATGGGGTGCAAGAACAATTCCTGGAGGGAGCGGCGATGGGGAGCTGCACCTCGCCTCTGCGCGCGGGCCACACAAGCCTGCGGGTGTCAGCATGGGTTTTTATGTCATCTCCAGGGGTTGTGCAGGAGGGAAGAACTGCTAATACCCTGGTATTTGTGTATTATCTGTCAATGTTCATGAAACCTGAAATGAAATTTCCCTCTCTGAAGGGCAAAAAGGGGCTTTGATGGCCAGCAAAGGCCCGGTGCACTTGCTGCTCTTGGTCTCCATGAGAACGGATGCTCTCACGTTACATCAGCCCCAGCTCAGACTGTCAAACCCCAGTCGGGGCTGCCAAGCGTGAAATATTTCCCATGAAACTCACACGCTCGGTAGCCCTGTCCGGCTTTCCCTCAGCCCAGCTGGATCCCAACATGTCCAAGCTGGGCCGTTAGCAACTGCAGCCACTAGGAGCGACTCCCGCCCGCGTCAGGCCGTGCAGTAGGCCGCAGAGCCAAAACTGAGCGGCCCCTCCTGGCACCTGCCTCCTTCTCCAGTGCCATTATTTCCAAGCGGTAAGTACAGAAAAATTTCACCCCAATTTTACTGTGTCAACCAAGGCTATCCATATCCTCCCCTGCATTGACAATGCCTCCCAACTTTGGCTCAGCACCCAGTTTCATTAGCACATTCACTTCAGTGCGCCAAGATCATTAACGAGCGCTGGGCCCGGGACGAGCCACTGGGGAACACCGCTAGTAATTTCATATAATTCCTGCGCTTATCTCAATCTTAACTAATAACTCACTGTGTGGCACCAGAGCCAATGGATTACTGAAGTCCAAAGCAATCAGTTCCACCGCATTTAGTGTGACCTCCAACATAATGCGGGGTGCAGAATGGAAAAGCATCCAGATTCGTTTCAGTGGTGCCTGCGGAGGCTTAGAAACGTCTATCCCAATCTACATCAAAATATTTCCAGTAGATGGTTAATGACAAGGCTCAGAATTTGCACCTTATTCCAAGTCATGATTTGTCTGACATCATCTTGGAGCCACCAGATCTTGTTACATCTTAGCCCGCTCTGTTAAGGAACTGTCTTCTCACATTTCTCTTCCCGAGCAAAGCGCTCGTGCACGGTGACCAGCTCACCCCTTAACCTCCCCTTTGAAGAGTAAAACAGAGCGAGTCCCTCGCATCTCAGGGAACCCGTTCGCTGTGAACCCAATACATTGCGTTACCTCATGGCTTTTCCCAGCACCTCCACCCCATACAGCATCTTTCACGTGCTGAGGGCTGGCAGTTTCCAGGGATGTGCTGCTCCTGCAGCCCCCAACACTTAATGCCCAGGCCTCAGCGCAGCGCTGCGGGAGCCACATGACCCTAGGAGCCACCCTGTGTAGTGCGGCACCCCAAGGGCCTGGCTGGGGGG